TGTTTATTCTTATGCATGAAGTTTAGCATTATTCTGTCAACCAAAAAAAAGTCAGGAAGGTTTTGGTAGAAAGTGGGCTTAATACATTTTTTTACATGGAAGTGACAGTTTTATAATGGTGATTAAATATGTGAAAATTGAAGTTTCAAGTAGAGAGCATGAGATACAGTAGATGAGCTACTCCTAAATTAAATCATCAAATGCATAGGTCAAAAGTTATATCCAAGAACCAGTTCCATGATTGTTGCATGCCTCACCCATCTCAAGAGAATAAAATGTAGACGGAGAATTCTGTTTTTTTTTTTTTTTTCTGACAGGAGAGAGCTAATTGTGGACAGAGATTTCCTCTGGCAGAGGGGTAGGCTGTGCTAAGGAGCACTCATCATAGTATTCCCAAATTGGAAACAACAGTAGAGTGGATAAATTGTGGTGGATTCATACAATGGAATAGTATGTGGCAACAAAAAATATATACTTCTGATGCACATAACATGGATGACTTTCATAGGATACTTTTGAGTGAAAGTAGCTGAATGCCAAATAAAACATATTACCTGGAATCTACTTGTATGAAGTTCGCAACAAGTAAAACTAATTTACAGAGGTAGAGATCATAATAGTAATCTTTGAGGAGGTAATAAGTTAGAGATGGTAAGAGAGAGTCTGCTGGGATTCTGAATTTTTCTATATCTTGATTTAGATGGTGGTTAAACATACAACATACACATGTATATCTATGTAGATGTACATACAACCCATGAGAGAAGAGAATTTTAGGAAGAAAGCCTTATTTTTAAAAATATTTTCCTCAAGGAGTTTAACAAACCAATTAATTCTAGGAATCACTTCTATACTTTTCTTAATTTTTCAGGAGAAGCACAGAAATACAGAAATACCAAGTGGACTACCTGGGAGCATGACCACTATTTACCCTTACTCAGACATTAGTTCTAGAATCTACATCTTCAAAATTGTGAAATATTACAAAAAGATGAAGAAAACTGATGGATGACATTGGATTTGTTAAGATGTCAGAGAATGGTAGTTTCTGAAATCAGTTTATTCCGATTCATTTACCATTTTCCCACCTTTAATAGTGATGAATAATAATGTTAAGATATATTTACTCTATTTCATTTGTTATCTGTTTTACTATCTTTTTAAATGTACCAGAATCTGAAACTGTCTTGATGATTTACTAAATATCTGTTTGTCCTTATTATTAGTTATCTGTACCTACTGTAAAAAATTTCTATTAACTTGGTAACTTAAAACAACATAAATTTGTTCTCTCACAGTTCTCGAGGCCAGAAGTCCTAAATCAGTGTCACTGCACTAAAATCAAAGTGTCAGCAGGGTTAGGCTAACTCTACAAGCTCCAGGAGAATTTGTTTTTTGCCTCTTCCAGCTACTAGTGGCTGCCCACATTCCTTGGCTAGTGGCTGCATCATTCTAGTTTCTGTTTCCATGGTTATACTGCTTTCTCCTTTTATGTTTGGGCCAAATCTTCCACTTCTCTCTTACAAGGATACATGTGATTGCATTGAGGGCCCACCAAATAATCCCAGATAATCTTCCCATCTCAAAACCCTTAATCACATCTGAAAGATGCTTTTCCAAATAAGGTAACATTTACAGGTTCCAAGGATTAGGACCTGATATCTTCATGTGGCTATTATTCAGCCTACTACATCCCTCTACCAGAATAAATTCCATGGGAACAGAGCCTTTGTATGTTGTGTTCACTTCTGTGTCTTCAGTGCTTAGATGAGTTGTGAACAAGAATGCCTGGTACACAGTAAGCAGTCACTAAATATCTGTAAATTAAATTACTTAAAAATTTTTTTTTGAGACAGGATCTCACCCTGTTATCCATGCTGGAGTGCAATGGCATGATCACCACTCACTGCAGCCTTGACCTCCCAGTCTCCAGTGATCTTCCTACCTCACCCTCCCGAGCAGCTGAGACCACAGGTGCCCACCACTATGCCAGGCTAATTTTTGTTTTTTAAAGTTTTTGTAGAGACAGGATCTCCCAGTGTTGCCCAGGCTTGTCATGAACTCCTAGGCTCAAGTAACCCTCTCGCCTCATATCACAGTTATGAGCCACCATGTCTAGCATGGTATTAAGGAATCACTAGGTATTAAGCATCATTCCTGAGGTATTAAGGAATCACTAGGTATTAAGGAATCACTTTGATCATTTTCCTGTGGAATGGGGAGTTTCTGTTTCATTGAGAAAGATATACCTATTACCATTAGCTGTAATTTATAGTGATAAGCTTTGGCTCATCATCAGAGATAGTATTTTAATAAACAGGCCTATCCATCTACAGTCCGGGTAGTTTCATAAAGGAACAAACTATTTGAATGTGGATGTATTCAAATAACGTTTGAATAATTATCTTAGAGATGCTATAAAAGACATCTTATAGAGTTCTAGAATTCTTTTATAAATATTTTGTCTATTAGTTTTAAAACCATTGAAGACCATTCCTCTAATTTTTGACATTGTTAAGGGCATTGTACATGAGAATCCACAAAGATATTTTCTTTTTGGTGGATCAGCTCTATTTTTCTTTAGCATGTCAGAGTATCATACTGTAAGCTCTCAATGCTAACACAGTCCTCCTCACAGAGAGTTTTTTTTCTTTTTCTTTACAAAAATTGCTCTGTCTTCAAATTCTAACTTTAGACCCAGAAACATGCCATATGTGTAAAATATCATCACTAAAATAATGCAACTGACTTTTTGTTTTATATAACACCACCATCCTATTGATATATCCATATCCAAATGAATGTTGTCATCTCTCAATCAAAGTAGTCATCTCAGAAATTGATGAGTGGAAAATGCGAAGTTTTCTTTTAGATTTCCCTCCATATAAAACCATACGTGAAAATCAGGCCTATGAGTTCAGCTACTTGTAGCTTTTGGCCAAAGTAGTTATGTCAGTTGGAATTTTTTTGTTTGCGAGGAGCAGAATATATCACCAAAGTACCTTATTATTTCCCGTATCAAGAAACCCAGAAGATAGGCTGAAGAAAGTGTAGTAGTTCTGAAAATCCTGTTCTTACCCAATAATGACAGCAAAGGAAGGGAGGAGGAGGGCTCTACTGTCTCTCCTTTTTTATTTTCCGTTTTTTTTTTTTTTTGGCGACGATGGGGGTAGGGTTCTTCTCCAAATGTCTTCCAAAGGACACTGTCTTCTGTCTCATTTGTTGGGTGGATCACATAGCCATGTAAGGAAAAGTGGAAAAGCAATTTTCTTGCATTTTAACTGCCCTCATGGACAAGAAGGGGTTAAGTCTGTCCTCACTGGAAGAAGATTCTTCACATTAACAAATACATATCCTCTTCCTTCTATTTCTCATGAACAAATCTGGTGAATAGAAAATTGGCAGTGGTGGTGGGGGACTGGGGAAAGAATTGGGTACTAATACTTAACTGGTTACCTACAATTGTGGACCAGCCCCATCTGCAAATGAAGAGACTGAGGCTCTACACAAGGCACTTGTGTAAGGTAAATTAGCTAGAAGGTAGTAATGCTTCCAACGTGAACCATTATCTAATGATGATGATGATGAGGTGATAATTACATTGGTAAATACTGAGTGCTTACTACACACCAGGCATTGTGCTCTCTATGCTGCTTTATACTGATTATTTCATTTAATTTTCAACCCTGCAAAGGCAGTAGTCCATTTTACAGATGAACAAACTGAGGCTCAAGGACACATATCTAGTAAACCTGTGATTAAATTCCAGTGCTGCCTCCAGGTCTGGGCATTTCTTTACACTGTTCTGCTTTCCTGTTCTAATGTTCATATGCTCTCCAAGACTACTGCCTCTGGGCTAAGCATTTTGTAACTTAAGATTTTTCATCTGCGAAATGGGGATAATTACACTTTGTAATTCCTATAAGGAGTAAAAGTAATAATAAATTTAAAGTGATTAACAATGAAACAAACATAGCAGGACAGATGATTTTTGAATTTCTCTCACTATATTGTAATTTTCATTTATGCCATTTACCTACACTCCCGGACTGAGATCATTCAGGGCAGCAGGTCTTAAATTATCTGGACTCAGGACCTCTCTATACTGTTAAAGGATGGCTGTGACCTCCAAAGAGCTTATGTTTATTGCCTACCTACCATTACTGCATTGAAATTAAAACTGAGAAATGTTTAAAAACAACAAATACAAGCTCCCTTAGCTGCCAGTGACGACGTCGTACACAAAGCGTATCCTCCAGAAACGGTAGACTAGTGAGAGAAGGAACCTGAGAAAGGCACACGAGGTGTATTATTACGAAAATTGTTCTGAGGTCATCGGGACTCCCAGTGGTCCCTAGACCACACTTTATGAGAACTGCTGCCCTAGGGCAAAGATGGGGTGCCAGGAGATTGGTGTTCAGTAGCTTCCAAGGAACGAACCATGGGAGCCTGGGGTTCAGATGAGGAAACGAGAATTAGGCCGAAATAAGCAGCGCGAGAGCTCCACTGTACCCACGGAAGCTACTGTGGATTCGCCGCAGCTTCGGCCCTTAGCAGTTGTCCGCTTCCCCGACCCTCTTCTCGGCTCCGGCTTTTCAGAGGTCCTCCCCGGAGCGCTCCGCCAGACTACGGGAGTCCTGGGTGTCCGGAAACAGGCACCGCCCACCGCCTGTCCGCGAACTCCCGGCTGCCAGGCAACCCTGGCGCGTTGCCCAGGCGTCACTGCCCCACCCCATCAGGCTGAACCATTCCCTTCAGGGATCATCTGAAGAGGGAAGAGAAAAGGGAATGTGATGAAACGCCTGAAAGCTTCTCTGCTTCCGTTTTCTCTCCTTAATTTGAAAGAACATTTCTTTTCTTCTTCTAACCAACTACCTCCTCAAAGGCAGCGCAGTGACTCGCCTCTCTTGCCGGAATGTCCCCCCCAGTCCAGGCCCGCAAGTGGTTCGGCTCGCCAGGGAGGCCGCTGGTCCGCGCGGGTTGGCGCTGAGATGGGGGCGCGCGCGGGGGGCGGGGGCGAGCGCAGCGGGAGGGGAGGCGGGCAAGATGGCGCCTGGCGAGTGATTTTCCTCGGATCCCTCCTGCGGGCGCGGAGACACCGGGGCGGGGGTCCTGCCGCCACTACCTCCCTTCCTCCTCTCCCCCGCCCCCGGAGCCTTCCTCCTTCCCTTACCCCCCTCCACCTCGGGGGGCGGGCCTGGTTCCTGGAACACCATGTCGGACTCTGAGGAGGAGAGCCAGGACCGGCAACTGAAAATCGTCTTGCTGGGGGACGGCGCCTCCGGGAAGGTCAGTCCTCGAGCGGGCCCGTCGTCTCAGGCCTGCAGGAACCCCGGCGCCCCCCGGCCTCCTCCCCGCCGCCCAGCGTCACCTCATTACCCCGAGTCCCCGGGCTTCTAGGCCCGGGCCGGTCTGGTCGTGGCCTGTGGCCGGACACAGAGTGGGCGGTTGGTGAAGGCCGACGAGAGCTGTCCAGCTCCCCCTTAAAATAAAATCACTTCCTAACTCCCCGCCTGGATTGCGAACTCCTGCAAGACTTGGGCCAGCCTTTCACCTTCCCGCCTCCCAGGACTGGCAGGGACCTGCCAAGGCATCTTAGCTCCTCTGACTTGTAGCCCGGGTCACACTTGCTCCTCCCCTCCCACTCCCTTTACCGTTTCTGACGCTTCCACTGCACCGTGAGCTCCCAGGAGGGTGGCTCTGGAATCAGCATTCCCCGGGTGAGAATTGGGGCTCCGCCACTTAGTCCTCGGGTCATTGGAGGGTAAATGGCTAACCATTTTGCGCTTCATCTGTAAGATGGGTATTGAAAGGGGCCGCCGCAAAGGGAGAAATGTGAAAATACGTATTAAATGTGAAAATGCACATAAAACCTTTTAGAGCACGGTGTCCACTGAATACACGTTAGTTGCTATTTCAGTATCATACCTGTTCGTCAGTTGTTTCCAGCTCAGCACTCGGTACAAGCAGTCAGTCAACAAGTGTTTATGGAGCTCCTGTTATGGGCAGGATGCTGAGGGTAGAGGTGCCCGCGTGACAAAAGGGGTCCCTGGTCGAATGAATGAGTGCGGGCGTGAGACTATCAGGCAGCGGTTCTTACCCCAAGGTTGTGGAACTCCTGAAATGGAGTAAACACTGCCCGGTGCTTGCTCTAGGGAGAGGGTCCATAAGATCTCAGAGGGGTCTGTGATTCCTCCCCCAACAAATAAAGTGAAGAGCCTCTACCCTGATGCCTTCTTACCCGTGCTTCTGTCAAAGGCGCCAACACTTTCTGGGAATAATTTTTATTTCCCCTCTACTCACTAAAGTTTATTTCCCCTCTACTTCCCTCCGTTATCCTAACCATAGTCTCTAAAGAAACCCAGGTTCTTATTTCCTGATTAAGCCTTCACATTTCCCTGCTGCTGGTCGCAGTTTAGACCCTGGTTTCTCTGGTGACGACTTCGCTTTGTATCCTCCTGGCAGTTAGCGCTGCACATCTAGCCTATTTCTGCCTTTGGGTCTGATATTTGAGTCTCGAGGTCCCCTGGGAAAGATGTAAAATTTCATATGCAAAACTTGGAGTATTCTGTTATTTCTTTCTTGTCGTCTTGGGTCCTTTGTTATAGATTTTTAAAGCTGAGGAAAACAATATGCTATGATTGCCTTTAAACGTTGGGGGAAGAAAGGAACTTGGGGTAACTTTTCTTTATGAAGTATATGAGTTTTTGTATACTTAGTAAACTTTTCAAATGAAAATGAATTTTTATAAATCAGCATTGTTTTTAACACCTTTATTCAGTAAAAAGTTCGTTAGATTTTTATAGTTTTCTCATTTAGATTTTCTTTTGAAGACTGTCTAAGGTTTTGCCTCTTAAATTTTACTGCATTCAGTTCACAGCTGATCTTATTTCCCATTTAAAATGATAATGACAACCCCTAACATAATACATCTGTAAAAAGACAAAAAAATTGCTAGTTATCCTATATGCTATCATAATGCTTCAAACTTTTGTTCATTTTTCTAACAGTATTTATTGTACATATATTACTCAGTTAAAATTTGTTTATACTTTTGTCTAAGGGTTTTATTTAGCCTATCATACATGTTTTTCCTTTGTTGCTTACTTAGCATGAATAATTATGATTTTTCATCTCTGTTTAACATTTTTTCTAGTATAGGACAGCATAATTTTTTTCACTTCCATGTGTTTCAATTAGTATTATTCTGCTTCAAAAGTTAACAGTAATATTTTTTATGATGGTCTGACTTAATCTTCATCACCTTGACTAAATAACTTATTTTAAAACAGTAACAGCTTTTTCTGCCAGGAATTTCCTGACACAAATGTCTGACACCTAACGTCCTTTCATTATTCTTAAATCAAGAATTTTTTTCTCCATACCCTATTCAGTTCTCAAGTAATTGGCAGCCACCAACATTCCTATTTTTCCTTTATTGTCCTTTTCTTTTGTGAACTCAGCCTCTCTTTCATTCTTATTTGTATCCTGATTTAACTCTTGGATATTTTTTCTAACATTTGTTTTTCCTGCTCATTCTAACTCTGAGCATTTTTTTTTAAACACTGACAGATGCAGTAGAGTATTGAGATGACGACTTACCAGTTTCTCCAAGAGAAATTTAGCTCCTCCCTCCAGTTCATGTGTTTCTATTTCTTTCCTTTCCTGATTCATATTTTTTTCTTTATTACATAATCTCTTAAGAGCTTTTTGAGGCAAAATATTCCTTTTTCTGTCTTTTCAGTGTTAGTAAATGTAGCATGGTTAAAAAATTGTTAGTATAAATTTTCCAAATCAAAAAATGTAAAGATTCAGATAAAAATATTTCTTATATGAGAGGAAGTTGTTCACTTCATACCTGTAATTAAAAAGGGTATTTATACAGTGACTTGCGAAATTATTGAATGTGAAAGAAGGCGTGAAGTCTAGATAATTGAAGAGAAAATGTCCCCCACTGATTCAGTTGATTCTCTGTTCAATTTTTATAACAAGATATCAGGAGATGATATAGTAAGAACTTATTTTAATATTCTGTATGTTCCCAATAACCTGTATTTTTGAGAGTTTATACTTGATTCCAGTTGAAAATACTAGCTTTGTGTTTGCCTCAAAAGTATGAAAGAAAGGGTTTTCAAAATCTGGAAGTCACTTTTTCAGGAAAAGAAACTTAGAATTTTTCTGAATATTCCTTAATATGAAAATATTGAACTCTGACATTCTTTAATTAAAGTCAAAAATTATCTCAACATTACGTGGATGTTACACATGCCTTCAGTTTCTGTTTGACCTTTGAGTATTTCAACCATCAGTATATTAAATATTTTAAAATACTGTAATAGTATGAGTAGTGATAGTTATTTTTTTTCTAGAATTCTGAACCTCTTCAAAGATGGTTTGTGGTCTAAGTTAGATAAGCTCAGTAGAATAATATAGTGTAAATGAGAAACAAAAATCTGTAAAAGGAAATACCTATCTTTTCAATCCTGATCTTTCAATTTTGATATTGTTACATGTGTCAAAAATATAACAACTGTGTTTATTTCTAGATGTCTAGCAGAATACCCTTCATATGGCAGTGCTCAGTAAATACTTGGCCAGTTATCTTAGAAATTTATTACAAATGCTGGGTATTTAAACACAAAAATATTTGGAGTTACGGTGTCCAAATTGCCATTTGTGTGAAAAATATGGTTCTGTGTAAAAGGAATTGTAGATTATCTTGCTAAAAGGAATTGAAGTTTGGCCAAATTTTCTTCTGCACTGTTGTACTACCTATGCCATAGTAAACTGTAATGAGCTATCTTGGAAATTTTATCTTAGTTTTCATTATTTTAAGAGTTGACATGTAATTTTAACTTTTAAAATTAAAAAAGCTATTTTCTCTTAATGTAGGGAGTCTGTCTTGAAGAGCATAAAGCTTAGTGAAGTTACCTTTCTCTTTGTTTTGGAGGAAGTTTATAAATAAAAGTAGTGCATTTAAAATGCTTAAGAACTTGTTGAATTACTGTTATTCAGTTGTTACTAGAATAATAATAAGAAATGCTACTCTAAAAACTCCAGAGTTTTTGAATAAAACTTTGAGTTTTTATTAAAAACATAAGTGTATATCTGTTCTGGTTATAATAGCTTGTGATTTCTTGGCATTATGGTTCTTGGATGGAAAATACTCTTTTTGCCTGCTTTATATTAATCTTAAAAATACCAGTTTCTTTATTTAAAATATACATATTGTCACAGTCATTCTTTAGGGTCATTTTCACTTAACACCTTTAAAAATAGAGAAAAATTAGACACTATGCTTTTCTTGTGGAAAAAGAAAAATTCTATAAGCAGATTTCTCCCTCATTAATTAATGCTTCTTTTTATTAGCTGAATATTTCACCTCAGAAACTGATCTAAGTTAGATAAGATCTATATGTTTTTAAATAATTCAAATATTTAATTACTATTATTATTTTTTAAGTTTTTTCTGTTGATAATTCTCAAATTCTGATTTTCAGTAAGGGAAAGGATCTTGACAAGCAGGGGATTCAAAGGGATCTAACTCATTAGTTTGTTCTTTCTACTGATAGCTGCTGGCAAGTGAAATTTACCTGGTGGTATTAAGTCTCTCCTCCCTTTGTAACTGATTAGAACTGCTTAAAGTTGCTTGTTGAATTAATTGAAGTATACATGTTAAGATTGCTCAATAGATTTAGTAGTGGTCTTATGTTTATATTTCTTTAGTGAATTAATTTTGATATTCTGTGCATCCATTTTTTAGACCTCTTTAGCCACGTGTTTTGCTCAAGAAACTTTTGGGAAACGGTACAAACAAACTATAGGACTGGACTTCTTTTTGAGAAGGATAACATTGCCAGGTAAGAGACCAAAAAGTCTTAATGTAGAAGATTATAAAAACATCTTAGAATAAGTGGCATAAAGCAGAAATGTGTAAGATGTTGGGGCTGCTTCTACATGGAAATATATGTAATTGGTAAGTTTATCTTAGGGAGGCTAACTTTCATCCCAATCTAACATGTAGGCACACTGTCCATGGGGGTGAGAAAAAGTTTGTATACTCTCCCACTCCTTCCCTGTTTTTGGCTACTATACACTTTTTGAGGATAAACAATCGTTGCTTATAAAATTCTGAAAAGCTCTTAAAAAATTAAGTGCTATACATTTGTCAACAGATATTATATTAACAAAATGTGAAAAGATTGGGAAGGATTATTTTTTAAAATATTATTTTGATTTGCCTCTGCTTCAGTTTTTTGTTTAAAAGTTGGAACAGAAGTATAATGTAGCTATGGAACTTCTGTGCTCTAATATGTGAATGCTGTTTTATGCAAGGCAGCATGAAATTGCTGGCATTTAATAGACCACTAAAATTTAGGGTCCCTAGGCACTCATAAAAATACAGTTTGAGCATTCAAGATGTTTCACTTCACCATGCAAAGAAACTATTTAGATGCCAGTTGCAGCACATTTTGTGGGAAATACGGTGAAATAATACAAAGAAAGAGTGGTTTATGTTTTAAGTTAGCTTCTGAACAATTGGGGCTTTAAAATGCTGTCCTTTCAATTTCAATGGTTAAATTATATGTTTAAAGTATTTTATTAAAAGCAGTTTATCTTGATTGACTTTATAAACCATCCATCCCTGTCTTCTGTGAGGAAGCACATTTGGAGAAAACGGTTGCACGTGTAATGTCTGATTCATGTACTGAAATGTGAGTGATATAGTGGGGAGGGGTTTAATAAATTCCAGTTATTACTGAAATATGTTAACCTCTCAGACACCCCATCTATCAGACAACTCCCCATGAAAGTTTTATAGTAGCTAATGAAAACTCTTGGAAATGGAGGTATTCTTCTTATCTCCTTAGTGATATACTCAGTTATACTTTGTGATGGTTTGTATTTGGCTACCAATGAAAAATAGATTGGGAGATATCCCATGAGGAAAAAAAGCAATTCCAATTTTTCCATTACTGAGTTATTGTTCAGCAAGAGGTTTAAGGAGAAACATATGCGTACTTTCTTTCATTTGTGTTTTCTCTTGATGTCTCCAAAACGGAAAATGTCATTTTAATTTTATTATTCTCACTCTTATGGATAATCTATTGCTGCATTCAGAATACTTAACAGCAGTCCCTAGCCAAATACATACACAAATCACATAATATAGATGCTGGAAGCTTATTTTTTGCAGAATCTTTTTTTCACAAATGCCAGTTGTACACGGAGAACCTCAATATAGTATTTCGTTAATAGCTATTTTGTTTTGATGCCTAATTTGAAAAACCACCAACTTTTTGTTTCATACTTCTAATATTTCTCATTTTTTAGTTGAAAAGCTTAAATAAACAAATACCTACTCAAATATTAAAAACAAAGCCTGGTTTTAGACATTTTATGTAGGCGATATATGTGACGATTTCTGACCTGTGGCACAGCACTACCAATTTACAAATTTTGAATACTTTGTAAAATATATTTGATATTCTTGAAATCCAGATTTATAGTATAATATTTTGGACTTAGACAGTACTTAGGTTAAAAAATGACATTAAGGCATGTATACTTTTAATTAATGTATAACTTTCCTAATTAAGTTTTAATGGCAAAATTCCAGAAAAAAAGTTCTGTAGTTTTTTAAAGCAGTTGGTTTTATGCTACTTAATAAACCCAAACTTACAGTAGAAATTTCAGTAGGAAAAATTTTTTTAATATATTTTGTTTTATATAATTAATAGGTATATTAAGAAATAAAGTGAATAAATTACAAGGTTTGCAATTATCCTTTATAGCCTTTAATTTAAATTCATTTTAGTGTCAAATGTAGGATGATTAATATGTCATTTGCTGAATAAAACATTACAGGTAACTTTATTGAATTTATAGCATAGTAGGTGAATCTAGTATTTGTTAGTCTACTAAGTCCTCTGACCAGTTAGATTGTTAGGGGCGTAAACCTCCTGTCCATCTATTTACATTCTCTTCATGCAAGTTTTCAAGATCATTACTTTGCAAATACTCATCCATTTTAGTATATTTCATGATCCGGTATGCTGTATAGTCTGGATGCAACCACTGTGCAGATTTTACTGCTTAAAATAGTGTATCTGTTTGTCAGAGATTCTGCTGATAGAGCTTCTTAAGAGCTTTAGTCAAAATACTTTCAGGAAGCTTGTGGGTACAGTCCAGTAAACAGCGTTCTACTGTGAAAAAGATTTCTAAGTCTTTAGTACAAGAAGTGGGCAGACTTGTGTTTTTAGTTCCATCTTGACTATGCAGCACTTTAAGTAAGGTTAACCAAGGCACCAAGTGTACTTTTACAAGGTCACTCTTGAATCCTCTTGGTGGCTTTAATTCATACCAAAAGCAACTTACCTGTGTTTTGTCACCTCATTTATTTTATTTTTCTCCTAGTTACATGTTATTTCTTACAGAGGAACAGGAATTTTGTAGCATTTTGTGTTTGAGATTAAATTTCTGACAATTTCCTTAATGTTCTTTACAAATGTAGTTAGAAATTTGTATTAGATTCTTGATTTAAACAAAATTATATTATTTGAATATTTTTATATAGCTTTATAGGTATGTCATCTTGAAAATATACTAGGAGAATTCATATGTTTATGCCTACAAAGACAAAAATGAGCATTTATTTGAATCATATCCTCATGTGATTTTGCTCCTCAAATGCAGACTCCACATTTTATTTTTAGTTTTATGTGTTAATAATCCTAAAATTCAAATGTGGAGTTAAAAATATATTTCTAGATATATATGAAGTAATATCATTTGTTGAAGCTGTAAATATAGTAATTTTTTGTTAGCATTCTATATTAGTGGACTATCAGTAATTCACAGCTATTTATATTTCTGAGTCACTGGAATATATATTTTAAAACACCAGGCAAATACAACAGGGTTTATTTGGAAAGGCATGCATTTAAAAAGTATTCTCAACACATGAATATGAACCTCTTAGTTGAGAAGCAAGTGGGTGGATAGATGACTTAGGGTCTTCATGTGATAGTAGTCAGAATTTGAAAATATTTATTGAAGATCATGTTTCTAATATTAAAGTCAGAGTGTTCACAACACCTAATTCAGATAGGATCTGAATACTAGAACTTAAAGGAAAGAAAAAAGCTTTATATTTCTTGATGTGAATGAAGTTAAGCAATAAGGATATTGGCTCTGAAAAAATACGATTAAATACCTTTTAGTACTTACTAAGTATTGCCTAAAATCTTACTCTGAAAAAGTTAGTGTTGTTAAGCACTGTCTTTTGAAGTAAATAAATAACTCTAAAGAGTTGTGCAAGTAAAATGAATAGACTACTGCCTGTTTATCTAGGGGTTTCTGAAACTATTTTATATACTTATTAGTGATGTGTACTTCTTTCTCATCTGCTTAATTTGAGACAACATTATAGAAGAATTATTTCAGCCTTGAATCTAAAAAAATTGATTTTTAAGAAATCAATTTCCACAAATTTTTGGACAAATCTTAGTCTTATATTTTGGTTTTTGATTTCATAGGGCTTTAAGAACATTTTGATCATTACTCTGTGTGTTGAAAGTGTGAGTCTGTGGGAATGATGATGGTGATAAAACAGTAACTCTCATTAATGCTAATAGAAGTTCCTCATGGAAATCTTCTGCCTGGTGACAGATAGAACAACCTAAGTTTAAATAATGGAAAGATTTATACAAACCCACCAAAATTTAGAAAACTGTGCTGGTTAATCCAATGCCTTTTTCTTTTCGGTTCCATAGTTAAGTGGTATGAAATAATATTCTCTGATTTTAGTGTTTTATGTTGGCATATACATTTATATCTTTATAATCTTTTTTTTGAAGTGAGATCATTTTCTAGTTTCTAAGCTTTTATTTTCTTTTGATTTGCAGATCATTCAGAAAGTGCTAATTGATACTCTGGAGAAAACTGCATTAATTTTATGAGGCGAATAGTTTACAAGGTTAAACTAAAAAGCATAGTTTGGCTTTTGTAGCGTACTCATCAGTTGCATTGAGAAGAGAGAATAGCTTATCTCATACATTTTTGTATCAACTAAATATTTTACAAAATGCATAAAGGATTTTAAAAATTGCCTTTTAGAATGCTTTAATACTTGTATGGGAAAGATGATTAGTTACACTATTTTATGAAGGCTTGGAAGTATGCATCATTTGTTTAAATGGAAATGCTTTGAACAGGTTTAAATGCATTGTAATATTTATATACATGGCATGTAGCCTACATTTGTTCTGAATAGGGCTATCAAATGTGTTTATTTTGTAGGTTAAATATGAAAATGTAATTTTTGGACTATGTTTGCCCTATCCTGTAGTAGCTGTCAATCACATTATAAAAAGATTCATTTATCTGAGCTGAAATTATGTGTTCATTTTTGTAGTTTGCTGTTAGTCTAAGAGTTTTAGAACCCATAGAGTTTAGCTACAGCATAATTAATGCTTGCGATTGGATGGTTGAGAATATAAGCTTCAATTTTTATTTTCAAAGTACATTTCTTGATTGATGACATGTGCTTTATTCTATTCTCTAAGAAAAACATTCTTCTAAGGCTTAAGTTTATAAAAAAAATAAAATAAAATAAAGCTTACTTTATTTTCTTTTGTTTTGAAGGTGATTGTAAATATGGTTCCATGGAAATGGTGTAAAAGGATAAAAGTGGATTCTCCACTATTATTTTTTTTTGACGTTATTTTTGCAATTCCAAATATCATTTGAGCCTGCAAATAAAGACAAATTGGGCTCAGAGTTTCTTATTGTGACTTAGTGTTCTGTCATACTGTGTCAGTTGTTGTATTGTTACTTAATTTTTTTGGTGTTCTTATTTTTATATTCATTTTTTATATTTTAGGAAACTTGAATGTTACCCTTCAAATTTGGGATATAGGAGGGCAGACAATAGGAGGCAAAATGTTGGATAAATATATCTATGGAGCACAGGTATGATATGAATTCAGATTATTCCATTATTGAAAGTATACCCCTGACAAGCACACAAGCAGATCTACACCCAAATGCACGCACACATATATATTCTTTCTAATTTTTTACCTGATATGTAGAGAGACTGGTTTTATATTTGTCTAGTCCTTTGGTTGCATTCTCTCAAAATTATGTTTGGAATGGTTTGGGTGAGGGAAGAGGAGAACTCTTAACAGCTTTCGTATGTTATTTACATTACTAGATGTTATTGTTAGCAGTTCAGTAAATGCAATGATAAATGATATTTTGATATTTATTAACTGTTTTTGTTATAGTGACTACTTTCAAATAAATGAAAAATACAGGGGTGAAAGTTTAACTTCATTTAAGTTGCAAGGACTAAAAGGTAAATCCGTATGTCTGAATTTTTGTGCAATGAGTTGGTCTAAATACTGGTAATTTTTCAGATTTAATAGACATGTCAATATTTTCTATCAGATAGCTAAATATGACAGTGTATATGTGATACATGTACAATAATTTACTATGATAATGCTTTATTTTGAGAAGAAAATCCATGTAGAGCAAGAAAAATGACCTGAATAATTACATAAGAATTCTTTGGCAACATGAGCTTATATTCACCATGAGCTTATATTAATATAATTTATAAGATTTTAAATGAAGTTATACAAATAGAAAATATGCAGGGTAGTAATATACTTTAAAAAGTTAATCATTTCTCTCTGAGCATGTTCAGTGAAGAATTCTTTTTAAGAATTCTTCTGGCATATTGCTTTTGATTAAGTGACAGACTTTAGAAATGTAGTAATGCCATTGAAAGGAATTATCTGATGAAGTGGAGAATATGCTATATAGCTGAATATTAAACGTGGTGCTTACTGAGCTCTGTATGTAACATTTGATGTGCTATTATTTTTGCTTTTTTTCCTCACTTTTAATTAGTGTGTATCTTCTACATCATCTGGAGACATAGAGATAATACTCAAAATTTTTAGTTAGTTCTTTATTGCAGTTTGGTATTTTAAGTGGGACAAATATAACTTGGTTATGTGGAACCATGTTGCTCATAATAAATGAATATATAGGATGGAGATATAGTATGTTAAGCACTCTGCTATGTAAAGTTTGGTTCTTGTCTAATACCATTACCTTACTTTTGGATGAAAAATAGATTCTGATTTATTTTGTAAAATACCCAGAGAAGGAGAATATGGCTACAGAGGCTAATATGGTTCTGAATTACATATAAAGGCCCTAGAGTTTTTATTTTTGCATTGCTGATAGAGAGATTTGGCTCTTAAAACTTTTTCTTATCTTTTATACATTGTTCTTTGTCTCATGCAAACTTTTTATGTCCACATTTATAACATTTTCATCTGTGGTCAAATGACTTGATATTTTATGCATGTTCATTTTTCTCTTAAAAAGTACATCTCAGAATTTTGTGTCTGGCTTTTTTGTTTAATTTTTTTTTTTCTGTTTTAAACTGATTAAAGTGGTTACTAAGATAGAGAAAACTTGCTGGACAAAGATTTGTGGGAAGCCACAGTTCTTGTTTCATTCATGTGGTTGTTGATAAAATGGGAAAATAACACTCTTTTATCTTTGTTCTATAAAATCTACCTTCAAGGCCACATACAGGATTTTTTAAAAAAATGAAGATTAGGTCTAACTTCTAAAGATATTTGACTCTTGGTGTCAAATAGAATAGACTTTTATGATTTATATGTATAACTAGAGTTAGCGGAGAATAGGAGGACTTTATGCATTTCAGAATAAATAATAATATATAATTCAATTAATATATTTTTCTTCACTTAAAAAATAGGGGAATCTAATGCCCATGTGTTGGATTCTATTAATTCTACCTTACTTCAAATCATTAAAAAATTTATTATCTAATGTATTTAAATTGTTTAAAATTTATTACTATTATATAAAAATTAATATTGATTTAAAATTTGTGTATTATAAAGTTAACCATTCTAAAGTGTATAATTAGCTAGGTGCAGTGGCTTGTGCCTGTAATCTCAGCTAATTGGTAGGCACAGGTGGGAGGATCACTCGATCCCAGGATTTTGAGGTTGCACTGAGCTGTGATCATACCACTGCACTTCAGTCTGGGTAGCAATTGACACTCCATCTCTAAAAAACAAAATAAATAAAAAATAAATTATATAAACAGTATCATTTAGTACACTCACAATATTTTGTGACATTTCCTTAAGTCAGATTTTGACAGTATGTATTTTAGGTTATTATAAAGCTGCCTATAAGCAGAAGTCATTAATGGGAACATTTGTTGAAATTTCAAGAATTTCTATCTTTTTGGAAGTCTGTAAGTTTAGTAAAATGTCTTCATTATTTTTTAAGCTACTTTATTTCTTGGGAGAAAGTGAATGTTATATTTCTTAGGACTTGTCATATAAGGTTTCTATCTTGAAGGTACATATTCACCTTTTTCTCTTTCGGTGGTGTGTTATATCGTTTACACTTTACAATTGCTATGACTGTTACAAGCATGTACTGTCCTTTTATTAAACAACAATGTATAGTATTTCTGAGAAATTAATGAATGTTTCTATGAAATTGTCTGATAAAACTAGGAATTCTGAGATGATGAATGGTCAAAAATAGATTATTGGGTGTGGTGGCAGGCAACCTGTAGTCCCACCTACTTGAAAGACTGACATGGAAGGATCACGTGTAAGCCCAGGAGTTTGGGGCTAGAGTGAGCTATGATCACAGCACTCTACTCCAGCCTGGGTGAAAGGGCCAGAACCAGTTTATAAAGAAAAAAATGGATGGTAATGTAATAACCTTTTTCTGCTTCCTAGAAATTCCGAATAAATGCTGTGTTAAGTACATAAAGTACATTGACCGGTTGTCTATTTTGTTAAATGATTTTTAAATTCTGTATCCAGGCCAGAGAAGCTGTGACTCATTACTTACTACTGTAAATTGGAGAAAATGTTACTTTTCAAAAACAGTGCTTTCAAAAACATTCTATTAGCATTTTAATAAGCTCCATAACTTTATATCATATAATAATTCTTCAAAGTAGATTTATATTGCTTCTAGAGTTACTGATGCTTTATATTGACTATCTTGTAAATACTTTGGATTTTGGTACATATGCTGCAGGACAGAAATCTTTCACAGATATGTTGACACAAGCCTTTTCAGGATATCAGTTTAATGTGTTATTTAGGGTTTTGTGTTAGGTTCTCTAACTTCTGTATTGTATAGAGAAAGAATTGTATATGTCTGTGTCATTAAACTAGTCAATCTGTTTCTTTAAAGCATTTCTCAACATCTGTGAAGAAGCTTATTTGTAGGCTGGGAGTTAACTTGGGTCCAAATAAAACTGATTATTTTGCCCTCTTCAGCCCCCTTTTCCCCAGCAACATTAAATGTTAGCAATAGTCTATTGAAAGTGTTGGCAAAAATCAAATTGAATTGACACCCAAAAAAGAATTAGTGAGGTATTTTGACAAGAACTAGTTCTAAGAATTGAAATATATCCCAGTTAAATTTCCAGATTTTAAATTAACTTAAAAATTTCTAGGAGTTGTTAGAAAGATGTTATAGGCAATTTTTCATAGTGGTTAGGAGCAAACACACAGTACATAGTGTTTAGTGCCCTGTAACCTGTGGCTAACAGAGGCTAATAACAAACCTCAGAGAAGGACTGGATGTTTCATTTTTGTAGCTCTTTCTGTCCTGGAATCTAAGTGGTTTGCAAACACTGACCCACTGAGCATAAACTCAATGAAGTGTAGTCACTTGTGAGGTAGAACATAACTTCTGTTGTATACCAGTGACTCAAAACAGATGAGCCTGCCTTTTAAATATCAACAAAAGGATTTGGTGCCTACCTGACAGTTAGGGACAGAGCACATCTGAAAACTGGACTCTCCAAGACCTTCTGCTCTCTTTTACTGTAAGTTTTTTAGTTGGATATTTGCCAGCTTATAACTGACTTTTTGCATTAGTGTGTCTTACAGATTGTACTTACAAAACAAGATATATGTTGTTTTGGCTATTGTATAATCTGTATGGTTTAATTCATTTCTATATGTAATTAAAAAACTAAAATACATTATTTCTCTTGCATATAAGGGAGAAAAAAAATAACCTGCATTTTGGGAATGGGAGAACCTTTCATTTTGGAGAAGGTTAAATAGTATGTGTATTGTGTTTAGCATGTGTTACATTGAAGAACTAAATCTATGCGATACATTACAAGACTGTTAAATGTTGGCATGAGTGTTAGTTTTTTCAAAACTTCTGTCAAGGCTGGGTCAGTGGCTCATTCCTGTAATCCCAGTGCTTTAGGGGGCCAGGGGAGCACAATTGCTCGAGTCCAGGATCAGGAGACCAGCCTGAGCAACATAGTGAGACCCTAGTCTCTACAAACAATTTAAAAAATCAGCTGGGCCCTGTAGTACAAGCCTCTGTAGTCCTAGCTACCAGGGAGACTGAGATGGGAGGATTATTTGAGCCCAGGAGTTCGAGGCTGCAGTGAGCTGTCACTGCATTCTGGGTGACACAGAGCAAGGCTGGGTGACACAGAGCAAGACCCCATCTCTAAATAAAAAAAAATTCTATTGATTATTACCTTGATAATGGTATCCGTTTGATTTACTTAGTCATCATGTTTATAAGATATGGTGGTAAGTGAAATAGATGAAACAAAGTACTATATAAACTAACATAATATTTACTAAAACTGTTGAAGTTTACAGAAAGGAGGATGGTAGTATCTTATTGCATTTGAAGTTGGGGGAAGGCAGTTAAGGCATAAAATGAAGGAAACTGTTGTTGAAGAGGGATTTAGTAAACTTGAGATCTGATTTCCAAAGATCACGTAAAAGGTTTCAGAAGAAGAACAGCAGCCGAAGGGTAAATTGGGAAGTGAAAGGAAAGGGTAGTATGGGGATGATGACATAGTAGAGAGATAAATATCAGCTATGTGGTTGATAACAAAAGTT